CACAGCTCCTCAGACTGAAGAAGTCCTTCAGATGAACACAGCTCCTCAGACTGAAGAAGTCCTTCAGATGAACACAGCTCCTCAGACTGAAGAAGTCCTTCAGATGAACACAGCTCCTCAGACTGAAGAAGTCCTTCAGATGAACACAGCTCCTCAGACTGAAGAAGTCCTTCAGATTAAAAACCAAACGTTTCTACAATTTTTTTTAATTTTTTTTTTGAACGTCCAGAGGACCAGACTTCACTTTGTTAGATGTTTCTACCTGGATTACTGAGCAGCATCAGGATACTTTAAAGTCTCAGTTCTTTCTTGGACCTCTGGTGGGTTCAGTTCTGACCCGATCAGAACTGAACCCACCAGAGGACTGACCTCTAATGAGTCTTCTAACCTGACAGGTGGACTTCACAGCTGCCGTGGACTCTCAGGGTTCTTTAGAGATAAGAGGTCACGTGATCCTATCTGGACTCTGGTCCATCAGGGCTGGTTCTGAAGGCCTCAGGTCGAGGCTCGATGGGGGACCCTGCACCCTGACGAGCCGTCAGACGCAGGACTAGCTGTGTCTGCCGGTCAAAGGGAAAGATTTAATCACGTTAATGAAACGAGACGTTCCGCTCGCGTTTCAGCATCCAGGGCGACGGTCCTGCCGGGTCCTGTTGGGTCCTGCTGGGTCCTGACAGGTCCTGACGGGTCCTTACGGGACTTAAAATACGCCGGACGACATCTGTGCCGTGTCTTGATTTAACGCGCCCTTCCTGATCTGGGTTTAGTGTTTTCGGGAGTCTCCGAGCCAACGCTCGTAGTCCACCATGAGGAGACTTCCAGGCAGTCCAGGGGGCCCTTCTCCTTTTTTTAAAGTAAATAACGGAAGTGTCTCCAAGAAGGAGGAACGTCCTCTCAAAATATCATTAATGGCAGGCATGAAGATTGGACGGTCCAAAATGTCTTAAAACCTTCTGGAGGGAACCCATTTGGGCCTGGACATTGAACCAGTCCAGACTTCATCAAGCGTAAACGGGCCATCCAGAGACTTTGTGTCCAGGTTCTGACATCGTGGTGACCACGGGTCAGACTTTGGACACCACAGTGAGAATCACAAACATTAGCAGCACAGCTTGGACAACAAGAAGACAAAACATGGACAAGTTGGACGTCAAATCATGGACATTTTGGTCTCCTTTCCTTCCATGTCCCTGTCTTTGCTGTTGGACGTGTGGGTTTCTGTCAAGTTCCCCAGAACGCAGAAACTGCACTCCTCACCTCTCATAAACTTCCATCTTAAACCACTTCCATGTTTCCTGGAAACAGGAAGTGGACAAACAGGAAGTAGAAGTTTTGAACTCGTTAAATTTCCGACATGAAACTCTGAAGATCAAAGGGGACACGAGGACCTCAGGGTCCAAATGTTTTTGACCCCTCTTGGTCTCTGTACAGCGACCGTCGTCTCATGGCCTGTCCTCCTCTCTCAAAAGAGGCGGGAATCACCGTGGAAACCAGGCGACTCAGCAGTTTCTGCTGCTACCAGCTGGTTGTCTGAGGTCCTTCCAACATGGCCGCCCCCATGAACCCAACAGGACCACTGGTGTCTGAGCCCAGCAGAACCGTTCGTTCTAACGTTTGTTTCTTGCAGCTTCATCGTGATGACGATGCGGCGGAACCAGAACCAGACGGACTGACGGGTCACACCTGCTGTGGGCTATAGGCCCCGCCCCCAAACACCTCCAGCTGCAGCTCTTCATCAAGATGGCTTCTGACCCGATCGGCACCATGGAGCTCCTCATCCTCTGAGCTTTATCATCAGCCTGTGCCACTGGACCGGACCGGGTCGTTCAGGACGAGGAAGAGCCGGCACCGTCTGACGGGTCAGAACATCCAGGCTCCAGGACCGGGTCTGGGATGCCGCGGCCCAGCACAGTCAGAACCATTGAGGCGGAGGCTCTGGTGGCTCTGCTGGAGAGCGGGTTGGACCGGGTGGTTCTGATCGACAGCCGGTCCTTTGTGGACTTTAACTCCGCCCACATCCTGGAGGCCATTAATGTGAACTGCTCCAAACTGATGAAGAGGAGGCTGCAGCAGGACAAGGTCCAGATCCAGGAGCTGCTGCAGCACTCAGCCCTGGGACAGGTGAGAACAGGGGGACAAGTGAGGACAGGGGGACAAGTGAGGACAGGGGGACAAGTAAGGATGGGGACAGTTTAGAACAGGGGGACAAGTGAGGACAGGGGACAAGTAAGGATGGGGACAGTTGACAACAGGGGGACAAGTGAGGACAGGGGGACAAGTAAGGACAGGTGAGAACAGGGGGACAAGTGAGGACATGTGAGGACAGGGGGACAAGTAAGGATGGGGACAGTTGAGGGCAGGGGGACAAGTAAGGATGGGGACAGTTGAGGGCAGGGGGACAGATAAGGATAGGGGACAGCTGAGGATGGGGGCACAGTTGAAGACAGGGGACATGTGAGGACAAGGGACGGGTAGGGACAAAGTGGGACGGGGGAGACTGGGTGTTTTGGTTCTGACCTGAGACATGTGGTTCTGTCCCAGTTGGACCTGCAGGCCTGTCAGGAGGTCGTAGTCTACGATCAGAACTCTTTGGACCCGGCCGGCCTCGGTTCCGACTCGTTCCTCAGCGTCCTGCTGGTGAAGCTGGAGAGGACGTTCCCCTCCGTCCACCTGCTCTCAGGTCAGTCTTGGTTTGGTTCCGGCCCATTTGACTGAGACCAGTACCAGGTGCTGATTGGTCCAAATGTCTGCGGGTTTGTCGAACCAGAACCAGAACTGTTCTGTTGTCCTGGTTCTGATCCAGCAGAAGCTCATGGCTGTTTGTGTCTCAGGTGGCTTCTCCGAGTTCTGCCACCTGTTCCCGGGCCTCTGTGAGGGCAGGTCCAGTCTGGTTCCGGCCTGCATCTCTCAGCCCTGCCTGCCGGTCAGCAGCACCGGGCCGACCCGGATCCTTCCGCACCTGTACCTGGGCTGTCAGAGGGACGTCCTGAACAAGGTGACCCAGACGGTCCTGTGGGTCCTGTTGGTTCTGACCCAGTTCTGACCCGGTTCAACTTGTTGTTCCAGGAGCTGATGCAGCAGAACGACATCGCCTACGTCCTGAACGCCAGCAACACCTGCCCCAAACCGGACTTCATCCCCGACTCACACTTCCTGCGGGTTCCCGTCAACGACTCGTTCTGCGAGAAGATTCTGCCCTGGCTGGACCGGTCCGTGGACTTCATAGGTGGGCCGGACTTCCTGTCCTCAGGTAACCCGGTTCTGTAGCGCCCGGCTCAGTCCGAACTCTGCTGTGTTTCAGAGACGGCCAAGGCGTCCAACGGCCGGGTTCTGGTCCACTGCCTGGCCGGGATCTCCCGCTCCGCCACCATCGCCATCGCCTACATCATGAAGAGGATGGAGCTGTCGCTGGACGACGCCTACAGGTCAGGCTCCGCCCACTCACCAGGAGGCACGTTGCAGGAAGTGGTACCAGCTGACCCGGTTCTGTTTCCCTCAGGTTCGTGAAGGAGAAGAGGCCGACCATCTCCCCGAACTTCAACTTCCTGGGTCAGCTGCTGGACTTTGAGAAGAACATCAAGAGTTCTGGTTCTGACCACAGGAAGTCCCTCAGCTGTGACCCTCCTCCTCAGCTGGAGGAGGCGGAGCCTGCGTCCTGCCTCGAGGCCCCTGAGGGGCCCGGTTCGGCCCAGGTGGAGGCCTATGTTCTGGTCGACGCCCCGGAGGAGCTGGCTCAGGGTCTGAGCGGCCTGCAGTTGACTGAAGGGCCCGAGGACGGCGCCCGCCTGAAGCGTTCCTTCTCTCTAGACATCAAGTTGTACGGCGGGCCAGGAGGAGGCTCCGCCCACCGAGGGGCGGGGGGCCCGGGGGAGGAGTTCTACAAGGAGACGAGCAGCAAGGCGTGCCAGTTCTCTCCGGTGGAGGAGGTTTCAGAGCAGAGCCCAGATAAGGAGGAGGCCACGGGTCTGGATCGAGCGGCGCCGCCAGCCTCCAGGGCTCCGCCCACACCGCCAGCTTCTGCTCCGAACGGTCCTCATCAGCTGCAGCGCAGCGGCAGCGTGGAGGAAACCACCACCGGCTTCCTGTTCGGACTCTCGCGCAGCCAGCAGCAGCTGACCCGACCCGGCGCCGGTGCCGCCCTGAAGGGCTGGCACTCAGACATCCTGCTGGGACCCGTCGCTGTCTCCGCCTCCTCGCTGGCGGGCGGTTGGTACCTGTCCTCCGAGTCCTCGCGGTTCTACTCGTCATCCAGCATCCTGAGTGGCGGCGGCTTCACGCCGTACGGCCTGGGCGCGGTGCGGCGCCGCAGCCCGAGGCGGGGGGGCGACGGCGGCGACTCAAGGCGGAGCTGGCACGAAGAGAGCAGCTTCGAGAAGCAGCTGAAGAGGCGGAGCTGCCAGATGGAGTTCGGCGACGGACTGACGGACAGCGGTGCCCCGGAGACGGTGAAGGTGGTGAGTCAGTCCAGCTTCTCCGGCAGCATGGAGGTCATCCAGGTGTCCTGAGGCTCCGCCCACTCATCACACGCTGCTGGCTCAGGCCCCGCCCACAACAAACTCTTTGGTTCTGGTGTCACTGAGCGTCCAATCAGCTGATGGAGGCGGTCCGGTAACAGAACTCTGACGTGTTCTGATCCAGCAGAACTGGACCTGATCTGAACCTTGTTTTCTTGCACAGTGTTGGTTCTGAACCAGAACTGGACCGGCCGGAGAATGATCAGAACTGCACCAGAACCTGTTTTGGTACCGTTCTGTTGTTGATCCGGGTCTGATTCTGATGGCTATGTTTCCCTCTTGGTTGAAGTTCTGGTTCTGACCGGGATGAGAGTTCTGGACCGGAACCTGCAGGAGGCGCTGCTCCTCCCTGAGATCAATAAAAATGTTCAAAAATCAAAAAGTTTTCAGAACCGTGTGGCTGATTTCTGAAAAACTTGTTAATGCATCGGCTGATACTCAGCTGATCGTCGGCTACAGTCAGCTCATCATCGGCTGATCGTCGGCTACAGTCAGCTCATCATCGGCTGATCGTCGGCTACAGTCAGCTGATGATCGGCTGATCGTCGGCTATAGTCAGCGGGTGATCAGCTGACGATCTGCTGTCAGCTGATCACCCGCTGACAGTCAGCTGATCATCGGCTACAGTTAGCTGATGATCAGCTGATCATCGGCTAACTGTAGCCGATGATCCGCTGACTATCAGCCGATTGCCGGCGGATCGTCGGCTGACAGTCGGCTGATCATCAGCTGGCAGTCGGCGGATCATCGGCTACAGTCAGCTGTTGATCGGCTGACGATCCGCTGTCAGCTGATGATCAGCTGACAGTCGGCTGATCTTTTCCTGCTGCTCCGATGTTCTTTCAAACGTAGTTGATGTTTCGGATCAGAGGCTTTTATTTTATTAAATTCAGTCACTGACTGACAGCTTTTATTTTGTTAACTCGCTGCTTTCTGTGAACAGCTGAGTCGTGTTTAAAGTATAAAATAAGTAAAAATGATCAAAACACTGAAGTTATTTTTAAACAACTTGTCATGAATTAAATTTACATCATATTACAGAAGTTATTGTGTATTTTTAATCAAAAGTTATTTACTGAAAATAAACTGCTTGTTTTGAATAATTTCAGATGATTTTTGTTTCAAAATGTTTATAAATGTTAAGTTTGTCCAGCAGGCGGCGCCACAAGACCTTACAGGTCGCAGGTTTTTGATGCCCTGAGTGCAGACTGGAAGGTCACAGATGTTTGAAATAATGTTAAAACTTGTTTTATTCACATAAAATAATTTTACCTCACTGACTCATTTCATGTAAACAAATGTTCAACAGCTTTTTAAACAAAATAAATATTTTTATATTTAAAATTAATTTATGGAGAAAATTAAAATACAAGAAGGTTCTGAGAAAAGTTTATAGAAATCTTACAAAGACCCAAATGTTTGGAACAAAATCTGTACTTGGTTTGATTTAAAAGTGAAGAATAATGTATTAACGGTTTCCAAGTCGTCTTTAGGATAAAAGACGAAACGTTTGACCAAAGAAGAATCCGTCCAGACGACCTGGTTCGACACGATTTATTAATATTTGGAAATAACGGATTTAGGATAAAATCTGAATGTTTCAGAAAATAAAAACTTTATTATGAAAACTAAAAGTTTCATCTTCACTGTGAAAACCCTTCAATAAAAAAATGACATTTCCTGTGGTGAACAAGAGCTTTAAATTCTGAGGTCAAAGGTCAGCGATCCAAACAAGACTACGTCCAATCAGGAGATACGAGGGAGTGTCCAAAATGTCCCCGAGACATTTCAAGTTCAGTGTCCTCTGGTGGTCCAAATGTTGGACAAAATTTATAAATAGTCCAAGATATTGCGGGTCTCAACTAGTCTCAGGTTTGTCTCAAACTAGTCTCAGATTTGTCTCAAACTAGTCTCAGGTTTGTCTCAAACTAGTCTCAGGTTTGTCTCAAATTAGTCTCAGGTTTG